ATGATCTCCAGAGGTCCCTTCCAACCCCCACATCTAAATACTTTTAGATGTATTTCCTCATCTAAAAGTGTCAGAAGAATCTTAAGAAAAGAATTGCCAAGCTGTTAACATCAGTATACAAACTCACACTGAACTCTCCTATTAAAAAGAAGAATTCTGTAGATGGCAAACATTCTCAAAAATTTGTTAGCATGGTGTTTTTTGGATTATTGACTAATGAACCTAATTCTCTACTAATAAGAAAGCCGAATGAAATAATCAGTATTGCTTCTCTGAAGGAAAGTCTTACCTCTGTACGTGGAGTTCTTTATTAATGCATTCAGAAAAAAAGTAATAGCTTACTGTATTTTTTTCAACACCTTTTGCAGGAACTGAGAAAATTGCCTAATTTATGCTAGCAAGCCTACAGATCTTTAATCTATTTGATCACTAGTGGAGGTGCTTACATTTGGCCCATATCCCAAGTGTTCTAGCACTGTTAAAACATACAGGAATGAGTGTAAGGGAGGATTATTTTTGGTAGTGCTAATTAACATCGTTATGGCTGCAAAAAAACCTAATGTAATGCTGTTCCAACAAAAATTCCCTTTGCTGATGTAACATTATCCTTTGGGGGAGCCAATCTGCTGCTATTTCACAAAGGTTTAGCTTCTCCTTTTCCTGCTTCTGCTCCCCTGTCTGATGAAAGCAACATCTCTAGGGAGATCTGGTAGTGTACCAGAAGTATAAAGAAGTTTGCAGGCTTACTTTAATAATGCAAATCAGGTTTGCTGCCTTTCTGCTTACTTTCAATATACTTGGATTCCCCCTCCCGTGCGTGTACACACACCCCCCCACACCCCTTTATACACCTTTTCTGTCTGGTTTCCTCACACTTTTTTGGCTTGATTTCTTTTCCCTGGGGTCTCTGACAGCGCTTGATTGAGGAGGAGAACATGTTGGCTCCATCTCTAAAACAGTTTTCTCTGCGAGTAGAAATGCTGCCTTCATACATTCCTGTGCGGGTTGCTGAGAAAATCCTCTTTGTGGGAGAATCTGTACAGATGTTTGAGAATCAAAATGTTAACCTGACCAGAAAAGGTAAGGAACATCTTTCTTGCGGCCTTTGCTCAGTTATGAGTGACTGACAGGTATCTTCCAAAATGCTGTATTAACGAATTCCTCAACAGTCACTGACTATTGGCTGACACTCTTCAGAACATATGGATGCTTGTGCCAGGACAGAGTAGTGGTCCCAGTCTTCTGCTTCTGATTGATTCCAAGGGCTAAGAACAGGATGAGTAAATAATAACACTTTCCAAAAGTAGTCTCCAAGTTTCCAGCAAGAAGTCACCATGTGATTTATTCTGGATAAATAAAGCGATTGCAAAGGCTGTGTTTTCTTTTCAGTTTGCACCTATGTCTGTCAAAGATGCAGACAGATACAAGGGCATGTCTTGCTCTGAGTGTGTATGTTGCAGCATGGTGTCCTAGGATCAAAACACATCCATAAACATAAGAGATTCATTGCACGGTGGTCCCAAAGGTTGCTTTGAAAGACAAATGATCAAGATGGAGCCTTTAAGACAGTAAGAAAGAGACAATTCCAGCTGATGGTTCTCTTTGAGAGCCTGATAAGTTTACACTGGAGATGCTTCTGGAAATGTATTCCTATACCAATTGGGGAGAACTGCTGTGGAGGCTCTATCTTGAGCTTGTCTATGTATTTAAATTAAATTGGACTGTTTTCTTGCCTTAGGAGAAGTGAGGTGAAAAGAAATAGGTCTTCTAGCTTAGTTGGTTAAAAAATAAATAAATAAATCCCCAAGTTCAAGCAGTAGGATAGATTTCAAACAGCGGTAGGTGGAGTTCCAAACCAGCAGGTTAATGTGGCAGAAGAGTTGTGGGTTCAAAGATTGAGCTCAGTCCTAGCAAAAAGGGCTGTTGGTGGCAATCATTTACATAGAAAATATTTTGGTTTTTTTACTGATACCACAGCACTGCTGTGTGAAGTGTCTATACTGTAACTGTACTTGCAATAGTAATCTTGTTCCTTGGTACTTGTACTTGGATGCCTCCTCAACTTCACGTTCCTCACCAGACCTAAGATGGCGCTGCCTGGACAGCCTTTCTGTCCTACTGTGCTGGAAAGGGTCTGCACTTCTCCAAAAGGTATTCCTTTTTATAGTCTATAACGCTTTTCTTGTTGCTGTGCAGGCTCCATCCTAAAAAACCAGGAGGACACTTTTGCAGCAGAGCTACACCGACTCAAGCAGCAACCGCTCAACTTTGAATCAGTGGTTGACTGGATACGGAGCACTGTTGCTGAGGTAAGGATCCTAGGAAGGATAACTACTGTGGAGGCTGAGGAGCTCTTCAGTTTTGTGAATGACTGGGAGAAGAAGGGGGCTCTTTAAAACCAGTGATTGAACAAGTGTGTGAATGCTGCAGGTAGCTTTCATGTTCTTATGGGACTCAGAGCTTCATGTTACCCTAACTTCTAATGACAAAAGGGTATTAACAAATACTATTCGCTTTCATGGGGGAAAGAAGGGATTTTTTTTTTTAATTTTTTTTTTAATTTCACTTGCAATGACTTCAGAACTTTTCATCATGGTTTCGGCATAATAGATGGCATCTCACTGGACAAATTCTTTGCTTTGGGAACTTTTAATATTTTTTTAATTGAGTTGGAGGGGAAACTTGAGAAGATGGGGAGGTTAGAGAAGTGAGAACAAAGCTAGGGTGGAACTGATTTTGTAAGAATTTGCTTATTTTTTTGTCATGGGTCTTCCTGTTTCTTGGGCAGAGTTTCTTGCTGGTATACATCAAGAGTGTTCTACATAGTAGCACAGGCTGCCTACATCGAAGATTCTTACTGTGTTCTAGTGTGCTTTATGTGGCATTTTGTATAGGTGCTTTTTTTTTTGTATGCATCACAAGCATTTTAAGAGACCTACTCTTCTCACTGAATGGGTTTAGATAAATCTGAGGGGAGCTTTATTTTGTTTAGTTTGTTTTTTGTTTCCTCACTAGCATCTTTGGAAACTGATGGTGGAGGAATCAGATTTACTAGGACAACTGAAGGTAATATAACTGCTAGCTTGTTTTTGCTAAAGCAGCGTAATTCTTTCTTTTCTTTTCTTTCTTTCGGCTCTTTCTTTTCTTTCTTTTCTTTCGGCTCTTTCTCAATAAATACCGTACTGTCTTAGATTCTGCACTTTCTTCTTTTAGGTAAAGCTTTTTTCATTTTCCAGGTCTCAAGAATGAGCACAGAGTGATAGAACTTGGTCAGAGACAGAGTTAGAGGGGTATGTGTATGTGGTTTTGTGGTTTGCATCTTGAAGCAAAGGCAGTGTAGACTTTTTGGGCACTGGATGAAATTCATAGCTCTCCAGCTGTGTTTTGAAATGGCAGAAGTTGTCCAAGCAATAATAAAAATGGATGCTATCAGCTAGGATGGTTAAAATTTCTGCTTAGTTCTTGATACGCTTGTATACAAAAAATTTATCTCCACAGATCATAAAAGACTTTTACCTTTTGGGAAGAGGTGAGCTGTTTCAGGCCTTCATCGACACTGCACAGCACATGTTAAAAACGCCACCTACAGCTGTAACTGAACATGGTGAGTGTTGCTTATTCACTTACCAAACTGTCCTCACTGTCGTATAGCAGGAAAATGGTTAGCCGCATTCAGTACAGAAGAGCTCTGTCTTATCCTCTAGATGTTATTGTTAGCTTTGAAAGAACAGCACTTGTGAATTAGATTGTCTCACAGAGGGGGTGAAAATAATATCTCAGAAGCTTTCAGATGACAGGTTTGTCTCCATATTTGAAACTGGAATGAAATGAAAATAGTGGAAATAGCGTGTCAGTGTTGTCTTTTATGGCTGAGCATAAATAATTAATGGGTGCAAAATTAACACAAGGTGATGCAGCTAGTGCTGATATCTGCTCTCTCCTTGTCAGATGTCAACGTTGCATTTCAGCAGTCTGCTCATAAGGTACTGTTAGATGATGACAACCTTCTTCCTCTGCTTCACTTGACCATTGAGTATCATGGAAAGGAGCATAAAGGTATATCTATGTGCATTTTTGGTAATGCATTAAGAGGGGCGATGATGGCCTTGTTTTCAAGTCCTATTACTTACCCTTCTCTGAAGTTAAAGAAATAGTAACTTGGTTCCCTTTGCAGCTCTATGTGATGACCTAGCCTGCTTTGGCTCTTCTTATTCTGTTCTTTCCCCTTTTCTTCCTTGCTATGGTTGTCTTGACTGAGAACATGACTTAATTCAGCACCTCATTTGTTTTCAGATACTTCTCAGAGTCGTGAAGGGCCTTCCCGGGAGTTATCTCCACGTGAAGCCCCCACCTCTGGATGGGCAGCTCTGGGCCTTTCTTACAAAGTTCAGTGGCCACTGCACATTCTCTTTACTCCGGCTGTTCTGGAGAAGTAAGTACTAGGTATGGTCTTTCTATATTCATCTATAGGTTCCCTGATCACAGGCACTCACTAATGGGTTGGGTTTTTTTCCTCTCTGTGGAAAGGTAGAGGTATAATCCTTTAGCTTGCTCCTTGAAACTTAAAATTACTCTTTCCACTTATTCATATTGAGGGTACTTGTAATGACAGTAAGACCTGCAAGATAATCCGAGGGCTGGAGCACCTCTCCTATGAAGACAGGCTGAGAGAGTTGGGGTTGTTCAGCCCAGAGAAGAGAAGGCTCCAGGGAGACCTGAGAGCAGCCTTCCAGCACCTAAAGGGGCCTACAAGAAAGCTGGAGAGGGACAGTTTACAAGGGCATGGAGTGATAGGATGAGGGGTAATGGCCTTAAGCTAAAGGAGGGTAGATTTAGATTAGATATAAGGCAGAAATTCTTCCCTGTGAGGGTGGTGAGGCACTGTATGGGCTTGCCCAGCGGAGCTGGGGATGCCCCCTCCCTGGAAGCGTTTAAGGCCAGGTTGGATGAGGCTTTGGGCAGCCTGGTCCAGTGGAGGGTGTCCCTGCCCATGGCAGGGGGGTTGGAACTAGTCGGTCCTTAGGGTCCCTTCCAACTCAAACCATTCTATGATTCTATCTGCACTATTTTACAAACAGTGCTACTTTGACAAAACACTGTCAGCTCTTCCCTCCTTACAGTGAAATTAACTGCAATTTTTAGATCAGTAACCAATACAAGGAGAAATCTGTTACTCTGGGATGGGGCATCCCCTGACCTACCCTGTCCGTTGGCAGGCTGCCACCTCCTGTTTTTTTTTCCCAGTCTTGCATTGTTATGTTCTCCAGTACCTGCACCCAAGGAAGATTTTCACCTGAAACGATTTTGTATTTCTTGACTATAGGTACAACGTTGTGTTCAAATACCTGCTGAGTGTGCGACGCGTCCAGGCTGAGCTACAGCACTGCTGGGCTCTCCAGATGCAACGCAAACACTTGAAATCTAACAGAACTGATGCCATCAAGTGGCGCCTGAGGGATCACATGGCTTTCCTTGTGGACAATCTTCAGTATTATCTGCAGGTCAGGATTATAGAGAAAGGTAAACTGTATCAGTTAATCAGGAACTGGCAGAAATTCATGGAGGGAGCACTGAAGTCCTTTCAGGATTCAGATTCTTTGTACCTTAAGGAAATCAGGATTTCCTTTGGAACAAGTCTAGAACTTTCTCTGAGTTCCCGGACTTAGTGCTACAATTACAAAGTTTTTGGACTTGTGACTCAGTGAGTATTACTGGAAATGCAGGATTTTTTTTGCCTCTGTAGCGCTATGAAGCATTTGTGAGAAGCCACAGGCATCTCTGAAGTAGCATCATTAAAATACCATCCTGGCTTCTTCCCTTGTCCCTTTAAGTGAACTCCAGTTTGAGTTAAGTGACAAGTTGTTTTGGTTTGGGGGGTTTTTTGTTTGCTTTTGTTTGGTTGGGGTTTTAAGAATTGAAAGAAGTCATATTCTGAACATTTGAAGTAAACAGGAGACTTTTCAAATGTAAACACCGGTTATTAGTAGCATGATTTTGTGAGAATTACATACCATTTTGTTAATAGCCATAACAGCTGAATTGAGGGGGCCTGACTTTCTAGGTTCTCCAGAGTAATCTGGCAGAGCTTTGCACTGCAGCCTTTGCCCTGAGATTCCAGATAGTATCTCCCAGTGTAAAATTCAGAGATGACTACAATCAAATACCTTTGTTTATATGCTAGCTGTATACTTTTTCAGTAGTTGATCTTAAAGAAAGTGACTATGTATGTCCCTTTCTACTTAGATAATAGGCATCAAAAATTGTTTCCCCTAGTTATGTACTACTGTTGTACATAATCCCCCATTGAGGACACAGGGAGAAGGTAATCTTTAGCCTCTAAGGTAAGAGTAGCAATAAGGAAAGTAAACTTCTTACACAAAACTTCTGGCTCAAGATACTCCCATTCCTCAAGATACTAATGAGGTTTCTTTACTTATCTGTCAGGTGGATGTACTGGAATCTCAGTTCTCACAGCTTCTGCAGCAGATAAATGCCACGCGAGATTTTGAGAGTATACGATTGGCTCATGATCATTTCTTAAGTAATCTGTTGGCTCAGTCTTTCATCCTCCTAAAACCTGTAAGTAGGTCTTGTTTTCACCTTTTTCTACAAAGTCTCCAGCTGCCCTAAGCAACACACCTTTTGAACATATACGTCAAACTATCTCTTTTAAAACAGATCAGTGGTAATCTCCTGCAGAGCACCGACTACCATTCTAGGAATAAAGCAGGTATAAACTAGAATAGATAATTGAATTAAGATCACTTACTTTACAGTTGGTGAGTGTGGATGCTGCATTCCTGGCAATTTTAAATCAAAATTATTCCAGTATTCAGTTAACCTTATTAACTGAAATTTTGTTGCTGTATTTTTCTCACAGGCAATTAAGTAGTATTAAAGAAGTACTAATTAGCATAGTGCTGGGAACTGTATTCCTGAGGGACTCATTCCAAAATGTGTTAGAAATGCACTAGATTAGGAAAAATTCCATCTTTTACTGTAGAGGATAAAAATAGTTGAGACCTTCCTGAGTGGACCTCAAGGGTATGTTACAGTGTTGCCAGTATATTTATTGAACATGTAGCCTCACAACAACATTCCCAAAGCAGGTTGGTATCAGTGAAACACGGTAATACCGCACATCTTGTCTGTTTCATTTTTTTTTTTCAGTCTATGAGACTATAGCCTAAATGTGGTAAAATACTATTTTTTCCAGACTTATGCAGTCTGGAACTTTTCAGTGTTCCAGCACTTATGTCTGTGAGGCATTTAGGCTTGCTTAACACCCTTGAATACAAGTTTCCTTGACCAACTGATGCAAAATAAATTCTAAGTTTTGTGAACAGTGAAACCAATGCCTTGAACCACAGCTCTTGCTCTTCTTTATTCTTCCTTCTCAATCCTGAAGCTGCAGTGATAGCCTCCTGGTTGGATAGGGAAGCCAATGTTCAACTTCTATGCCTATGTGGATGGCTCATGCCAATTGCTATTTATTTCCCCAGTAATATCTGCAAAAGGTTGGGGGTGGGGGGAAAGAGGCAGCATAACATTTAAGTCCTTTCTCCATAGAAAACCTTACAAAAATGCTACAGGTGCTTTAACATCTTACTGCTTGAAAAACATGGTATCAGCAACATCTTGATTATGAATGCTTCAAATTTCAGGTACTAAGGCCAGCTTTCTCTGGGTTTGAACTCTGTTTAAACTACTATCTTTTACTTTTTATCCCATGCAGGTTTTCCACTGCTTAAATGAAATTCTGGATCTTTGTCATAGTTTTTGTTCTCTGGTCAGTCAGAATCTGGGCCCATTAGATGAACGAGGAGCTGCACAACTCAGTATTTTGGTGAAGGTGAATCTATGTTTATATGGACCTGTTCTTCTCCCATGCAAACATTTGCCTAGGCAGTCATCTTGGCTTTAACAGCTGTAGAACAGGAGCAAGTTTAAGATGAGACCTTCTATGTGAGTGCATGCAATGATTTTAATTAATCGACCTTCTTGAGTTGAAAATTCAGTGTGCACAGAGAGGAGGAATATGCACAGATACGCAGAACTTACCCTATTGGAATAGAAAGGAGGTGGGTATCAGCCTGTGGCTCTACCCCTCCTTTTGCATACCTAATAATTCTTGTGGCTGACAGCTTACCTTACGCTGGACCACAAGCCTCACTTCTCTTGCAGTGATTCTTTTCTTCAGGCTGTTAAAGGATCGTTTAGGCAGGAACAGAGGTGAAAGGCTTGCTTGCTTTCTTGAGAGTGCCCAGAACTGACTGCTTCTAATTTGTAGGGATTCAGTCGTCAGTCATCGCTTCTCTTCAAGATTCTCTCTAGTGTTCGCAACCATCAGATAAACTCTGACCTGGCTCAACTGTTGCTACGCTTGGATTATAACAAATACTATACCCAGGCTGGAGGAACATTGGGCAGGTAGGAATATCTTCAGGGTCACTTGTAGCATTATCCTGAGGTGCTTGAAGTACAAAGTGATCTGAATGATCCTAAGTATTTTTTATTGATTGTGTAAGCCAAAATAATTAGAAGCAAAGAGTTGCTAAATACTGTAGCAAGAGTAACAAACCAGCACAAGTTATTTTTTTGTTTTAGCATGCATTTGAACTAGCTGCTAGTTCATATTGGCTGAAAAATGCTGATGGGGGGGGTGATAAAGGGAGTTCCTTTCAACATGTATTTAATGCTGTACCCTTCTCTTGCAGTTTTGGGGTTTAAGCACTAATACCTTTTCTTCACGCTGTGACCAACGTGTCAAGCAGTGGAGACTGGTGCACTCAACTGAATTTTGCTCTTGCTTGGTGAACCAGCGTTTCAGAAGGCATTGGCAGGAAGCGCCACTTATGTGAGGCTGCCCACTGACTGTGGAAAGATACTCCATTTTTGCTGAATTAGTAAAAACATGCTTTCAGCAGCCCTGCATATACTTATAAATGCTTCTAGGGAGGCAGTCTTTGCCTCTTCAGAAAGTGGAAAAAAACAACAAGAATTACTGTCTTGACTCTTCAGCTGGACTGTGATCCTTTGCAAGTTGGAGTATGGAGGAAGTAATCTGTTGTTCTTGCCTCTGAATGAAGTTTTGGCTGTATTCAGAAGTTCCACTTGTGTAGTAAACTGATTTACAGTACACATTGTCTGCTAATCAAATACGTACCTCCAGATAAATGAAACTGCCATGGCAGTTTGAGGTAAAGGGGGAGTTTTTAGACTCTCTTCTCCTACAGTGCACTGTTCTAGCATATCTGTGCTCACTAGTGATATCATATGCTTTCTCTATAAAACTTTATACACTTTGTGTGCTAAAATTATGCGCATTAAGATGGAACTAGGAGCTTTGCCCTATTCAAAGGCAGAAAAGTACTACTGGCAGAAAAGTATGCTAGAATTAAAACTAAGAAGAAACTTAACTAAGGTGCCAGCTCTAAATGTACTGTTTTCATTCAAGACTATTTAGAATGCTACTAGTGACTATTCTACTGAACCAAAATAATAAATTAAAAAAAAAAAAATCTTGTCATGCAATTATGTAGAACATTGTCAATGTCCCCACCCAAGTACAAGAGATTAGGCTACTGTGCCACACTGTGTCAATGAAAAGTAGTATCTGGCAGGAACTTCTAGCACATTACTGATTTCCTAGCCTTACAATAACAATCTTGCTGTAAGTCCATTTGAATTGAGTGGCAGAAGGGAGCCCTCCAGTCCATCACTAGGGTGTAGTATCAGGTTTCCCAATTTGAACACAAAGGCTGCCAGGAAACCAGCCTTAGAATGGTTTGGGTTGGAAGGGACCTTAAAGATCATCTAGTTCCACACACACACACCCCCACACACCCCCCCCCCCCACGCCGACAAGGCACACACACCGCCATGGGCAGGGACACCCTCCACTAGACCACATTGCCCAAAGCCTCAAAGTGTTGGTATTTTCACAGTATCTGAAGCTGCAGCTCTCAAAGTTACATGTTGGGGGGTGGGGGGGGGTGGTGGAAATCCTCTCTCCTCCCTCAGAAAGACACAGTAACAACAGACAGCAAGTATAAGGCCTGGCATCTTCAATGCATTACAGCTGTTCATGGTCGGACTGTGCCTGCTCCAAAGTTAAAAATCCTGCAACCATGACAAAAGCTAGAAAACTGGTGAAGGGTGTTGAAGTTTGGATGTGGAATTTACACACCAACACAGTCAGAAGGTGATTGAGCTAGGAAATGCTAGGGTAAAAAAATATGCATCAAGAAAAAAACTTACACTTTCAAAGCAGGGCATTGAAAGACTGTGTACAAGGCTGGATGGAGGCCTGTGTGTATCTCAAGCCTATAGCATTATTTGAGTGGAGAGCTGTCAAACTCAGCTTTTGTATTTATTGCAGTTGACCACTAAGATGAAGTGTCTGGCTGTGAATGCAGCAGCTCAGAAGCTGATGACTTACCCCATTACCATTTATACAAAGATACACAACACTTACATGCTCTGCACCTGTCTCCCAGCAGTTTAATTGTCCTAGGTCCCTGTGTCTATATCTCTACTTCAGTAGTCTGCACTAAGGCTGGTTAATACCCAAATAGTCACAACGGGGGGGGGGGGGGGGGGGAGGGAAACACAAAAAAAC